AGGATGATGACTATCCTATAAAACAGTGGTACAGCTGGATGAGGAAGATGACTATCCTATAAAACAGTGGTACAGCTGGATGAGGAAGATGACTATCCTATAAAACAGTGGTACAGCTGGATGAGGATGATGACTATAAAACAACTACATCATTTTTCATAGTGCTCTTGGAAGATGTATTAAAAGATCTGATTTTTACTGTCATTAATGCTATGTTTGTCTTATTCATTCTCTTTATTATACAGTCTAGTGTTTATCGTACTAAATAATAATGTTTTTAATGTTTCTGTGGATTAATGCAATTTTCAATGTTTGTATTATTGATTAGTGTTATTTTTTTAATACTTATGTAGTTTAGTGTTATGTCCACTATAGCCACAGCTAATCAGGACTTTAACACAACCGATATAAATCTGTGTTCCTTATAACCACAGCTAATCAGAACTTTAACACGACCGATAGAAATCTGTGTTCCTTGTAACCACAGCTAATCAGAACTTTAACATGACCGATAGAAATCTGTGTTCCTTGTAACCACAGCTAATCAGGACTTTAACACGACCGATAGAAATCTGTGTTCCTTATAGCCACAGCTAATCAGGACTTTAACACGACCGATAGAAATCTGTGTTCCTTATAACCACAGCTAATCAGGACTTTAACACGACCGATAGAAATCTGTGTTCCTTATAGCCACAGCTAATCAGGACTTTAACACGACCGATAGAAATCTGTGTTCCTTATAACCACAGCTAATCAGAACTTTAACACGACCGATATAAATCTGTGTTCCTTATAACCACAGCTAATCAGAACTTTAACACGACCGATATAAATCTGTGTTCCTTATAACCACAGCTAATCAGAACTTTAACACAACCGATATAAATCTGTGTTCCTTATAACAACAACTAATCGATGGGTAAAATTTTGTCTTAATTTTAACTGTCTTGTTCTCTTTAGGTTCGATTTTCATATGGAACCCACACACAGATTAGTCTGGCTTTGGCAAATAGCTATGAACTTGTTGAACACTTAATTGAACAACCATGGCACACCATTCCTGCTGCAGACCTTGAAGTGGGGGTGAGTAACATTATAACTTTCCCTGGGCATCAAACATCTGTAAGTAAGAGGAGATGTTTAAGATAATTTTATTGCATGTTAAAGAAAGACCATTAGTTTGGTAATTGTTAATTGTATGTTTAAAACTTGTTAGTGGTTTTTACAGTGAATTTTGTTGGTTGAAGGAAGGTCTTTTGTTTCTTGTAGAAAAATCCAGATTTGAGCACAGCTGTGTTAGAAATCCGTTTGCGCCATGCTTTGTTACGAGATAATGTCCAAGTGGTAGTTTCCCCATCTAACCACACGAGTCAATTTAATCAAGTTTACAGGCATTGTGTTGAAGGACTGACCCCAATCCTTATTTATTGCTTTAAAGAAGACACCCTGACAGAAAAGGTACAGTTGATTTTATGGCGTCGATTTCTCTTCATTCCGTGTTGCAAAGTATTTTTGTAAAAAAATATGTTAAGTTGACATTGAATATGATTTACAATGAGAGAAATACTGGACAACAGGTGGATCACGTGGGGTTATGACAATTTTATGTATTTTCATAGTTTAAAGAATGTAAGTATTATCTGAAAATTTAAGTTTTTCAAATTACATCCACATTCAGTGGGTACTTCATATGTGTGAATGCACTATCTACCAAAAAACAAACATAATTTGTTTTGTTCCAATGATTTGGTTTATTGTATTCTATAATATATCAGAAAATGAATTTTGTTGTTTTGTAAACAAAACAGAGTGACAAGCTTTAAATCTCAAACTTTGTAGCCTGTGAAACAAAATCCGTTTCTATTTTCTAGGAGCTTGAAGATCTAATATCTCTAAAAAAGGTGGCCCCAAAACAGCCGGTATTTTTTGTTTGTTCTCGACCTATGCCAACCTGTGAGTTGACAGAATCAGAGCAGCATGCACGTAGTGAGTTGTTATCTAGTCATTCACACATTCTTCAACCACACATGCTCCAGGAGATTTATTCCAATAAACTGTATCGGCTCACCCAGAAACAACAGGAATCTCGACTCCCAAACAAAGGACGTTCAGTTTTTCAGCAACTCTGTGGACTAGGCTATCTGAGTTCCATGTCTGTTAGTACAAAACGAAATCTTCAGAGACAACATAGTAACTTTTATGAAGTTGAGAGTGAGCTAATTGAAAATTTTGATAACTTTCCAAGGTAATGTTCTTTCTTGACATTTAAAACATTTTTGTTAACAATTTCTTATCGAGTTATTAAAAATAACGAAATGAATATTGGTAGTGTAATATGCAAGAAGAAATTATCAAGGTATTTAAATTTATGTTTAGATTTAATTTTTGACAAAGTAATATAAAATCTCATAATCATTGTTGCTTAAACATTCTTATAGAATTCACTTACTTTTTAAGTTGTATGTTTGACCTTACTTACATGTAAAGAAAGAGAACCATTAATATATATATATATATATATATATATA